CCAAGATTTCAACTCTATGGGTTCTGGATTTTGAAACGTTTGAAGTGCTAATAACTGGGTTCTAATTTTTTTTTAACACAAATATACTATTTAAGCAAAAGCTACTGGGTTTGGCTGAACCCGTACTCGAACTTCTAGCTCCACCTCTGCATCTCGGTTGTGTCTTGGTTATTTCCTGTGGTTGGAGATAGATATACTAGCATTTGACTATTTAAAATCACTCCCTTCTTTCTCAATCACATTCACATGAATGGAAGTGAAAGGATTACATATGACAAGTTCATGCCAGGAGTAGTAAGAATGAATTAGCTGAAATGAGAAGGCATTTATAGATGTATAGAAATCTATAGTCACTAAAAAATTCTGGTATATCTAGTCCTGTAGATTATTAGTTGATAATGCATATCCGATTCACTAGATTGCAGTGATTTCTTCTCAAATCCATCAGTTCAATGCTTAAAATTAGCTAATTGAAACTGCAACATACTCAGCGCTAATCAATGTGAAAATGCAGGGTGGATGAAGCAAGACAGCCTTTGTCAAGAAAAGTGCCAATAGCATCAAGCAAGATAAATCCTTACCGGATGGTGATTGTGGCTAGGCTGTTTATTCTGGCCATCTTCCTACGTTACAGAATTCTGAATCCAGTGCATGACGCGATTGGTCTCTGGCTAACTTCTATCATCTGTGAGATCTGGTTTGCCTTCTCTTGGATCCTTGATCAGTTCCCCAAATGGTTCCCAATCGACCGTGAGACTTACCTTGATCGTCTCTCTCTCAGGTGACAAATCTTTGCAAGTCTATTGTCCTGCTTAAGCATGGACATAAAACCAATTGAGTATTGCCGATGTGTGACCCTTGTTTTCGCAAAAATATGCCATACTCTAAGTACAATATTAGATACTAACGGAACCACACTAAAGTTCCACGGAAGAGGAAGAGCTTAGCATTCAGGCAAAACTTACTAGAAGAGAAACTATGACAAATCATATTTGCAATCTAATCTGAATGAGATTATAAATTTCACAATTACAAGTCAAATCATTTTCCGAGTTGCTTCTTAAAAGTTCTAACAAACTTTACCACTAGAGAAATACATATTTCACAATTTTTTTTATGTAGGTATGAGAGGGAAGGAGAACCAAACATGCTAGCCCCCGTCGATATATTTGTCAGTACAGTGGATCCTATGAAGGAACCTCCTCTTGTTACGGCTAATACGATCCTCTCAATATTAGCAATGGATTACCCTGTTGACAAAACTTCATGCTACCTATCTGATGATGGAGCTTCAATGTGCACCTTCGAAGCACTATCAGAAACTGCAGAATTCGCTAGAAAATGGGTACCCTTCTGCAAGAAGTTTGCTATAGAGCCTCGAGCACCAGAGTTTTACTTCTCTCAAAAAATCGATTATCTCAAGGACAAAGTCCAGCCAACATTCGTTAAGGAGAGACGAGCAATGAAGGTATAGCTTGAACTCTCGATTTCATCTGCAGCTTAGTGCTAATATAAAACTTTACCAAGTCACGAAATCACAAACGTTATTGTACTTGACAGAGAGAGTATGAAGAATTCAAGGTAAGAATCAATGCACTAGTTGCCAAAGCAACTAAAATGCCTCCGGGAGGGTGGATCATGCAAGATGGAACACCATGGCCGGGAAATAATACAAGGGACCATCCCGGTATGATTCAAGTCTTTTTAGGCCAAAGTGGAGGAACTGACGTGGAAGGAAATGAACTCCCTCGTCTTGTTTATGTTTCTCGTGAAAAAAGGCCTGGTTTCCAGCATCACAAAAAGGCTGGTGCTATGAATGCCCTGGTAAACATACTGACAAGTCAAAATTGTTATACACATCTACTTAGAAACATTATGCACATTACATCAGATATTTTGACAAGAATTTTTGCAGAAATGACAGAATATTTTCTCAATGTGAACATTGCAGGTTCGTGTTTCAGGAGTTCTTACCAATGCACCATTTATGCTTAACTTGGACTGTGATCACTACCTAAACAACAGCAAGGCAGCCAGAGAAGCCATGTGCTTCTTAATGGACCCACAAATGGGCAAAAAAGTTTGCTTCGTCCAGTTTCCTCAAAGATTTGATGGAATAGACAGGCACGATAGATATGCCAACCGAAACACAGTCTTCTTTGATGTAAGATCCAGCAAAATATGCCACATAAGGCCCTTACCAAAAAACTAATATACATTAGAATTGAGAAGATGTTTTATAGACAATACTTAATATAGCAAACAGATAAAGTGATGGTCAATTGCTTTAACTTATTTGAGATTAGCTTTACCGTGAACTTACTTCTATTACTTGGGCAGATTAACATGAAAGGCCTAGACGGAATACAAGGTCCAGTATATGTAGGCACAGGATGTGTATTCAGAAGGCAAGCTTTATATGGCTACAATCCTCCTAAACGTGCCAAGCGTCCAAGAATGGTCAGCTGTGACTGTTGCCCATGTTTCGGACGCAAAAAGAAGCTTGATAGTTATAAATGTGAAGTCAATGGAGATGCAGCAAATGCTCAAGGTCATATTCCTAAAATTTTAAGTTTCAACTTTCAAGATAACCTAAGCAGCTTGTTTAATAAGATCCTCTTGAGATTATTTTTTCCCTTATTTTCTTTTTCTTTATTACCTCAGGATTTGACGATGACAAAGAGCTATTAATGTCCCAGATGAATTTTGAAAAGAAATTCGGCCAGTCAGCAATTTTTGTGACTTCAACTTTAATGATTGAAGGCGGGGTCCCTCCTTCATCGAGCCCAGCAGCCTTGCTAAAGGAAGCTATCCATGTGATCAGCTGTGGCTATGAAGACAAAACAGAATGGGGTTTGGAGGTAATATTATCAATAAGTGCTGTGATGTACTTCTAATAGCTCGACTATTACATTCAAGAAACTCTTTAGCAAACTAAAACTAACGAAAAGAAACTGTGGTTAGAGAATATATGCTATTGCATGGATACAAGCATATTTCAGTTTGTGAATTAAAGAGGATATAAATGCTTAAAATTTTCTGTACCAGTAACATATGCAGCTAGCTTGAGATATATAAAGAACCATAATCCACCTCTAATGTAATAACCTTTCTAAATATCTCATTTGATTGGTTGAAACTGCTTTTCAACTTGCAGCTGGGTTGGATTTATGGCTCTATCACAGAGGATATCTTAACAGGTTTCAAGATGCACTGCCGTGGTTGGAGATCAGTTTACTGTATGCCTAAAGTAGCTGCGTTTAAGGGGTCTGCTCCCATCAACCTGTCAGATCGTCTCAACCAGGTGCTTCGATGGGCTCTTGGTTCCGTTGAGATCTTTTTCAGTCGTCACAGCCCAGTTTGGTATGGCCACAAGGGGGGAAAGCTTAAGTGGCTTGAACGATTATCATATGTTAACACAACCGTTTACCCTTTCACTTCCTTACCTCTCCTTGCCTACTGTACTCTCCCTGCTGTCTGCTTGCTCACTGGAAAATTCATAATGCCAGAGGTAAGAATGCAATTTTTTTTCTTAAAGGCATAAGTGAAAATTAGGAACGCTTCTAGCACCAGTTGCAGCTAAGTAGCTAATTATGTCACAAGCTTACTTGCTTTCTAAGTTATTCAGTTGACTTGAACTTAAATTCATTGATGCAGATAAGCACCTTAGCAAGTCTCTTTTTCATTGCTCTTTTCCTCTCAATCTTTGCTACGGGAATTCTCGAGCTAAGGTGGAGTGGAGTAAGCATTGAGGAATGGTGGAGAAATGAGCAATTTTGGGTGATTGGAGGGATATCTGCCCACCTTTTTGCTGTAGTGCAAGGTCTTCTCAAGATTTTGGCTGGCATAGATACCAACTTTACTGTGACATCTAAGGCAACAGATGATGACGACTTTGGAGAGCTATATGCCTTCAAGTGGACTACTCTCCTTATTCCTCCAACGACGATTCTCATAATCAACTTGGTTGGGGTTGTAGCCGGTATCTCTGATGCCATCAACAACGGATACCAATCGTGGGGTCCCCTGTTTGGAAAGCTTTTCTTTGCTTTTTGGGTCATTGTTCATTTATATCCATTCCTCAAGGGTCTTATGGGTAGGCAGAACAGGACCCCAACCATTGTCGTCATATGGTCAATACTTTTAGCCTCCATCTTTTCCTTGCTGTGGGTTCGAATTGATCCATTTGTGCTCAAAACCAAGGGACCAGATGTCAAGCAATGTGGACTCAACTGCTGACGTGCTTGCTCATACTTCTCTTCGGACCACATCCCTCAAAGTGGAGTATGCAAACAAAAGAATAAACCTAGTGTGAGAAGTTTTGTTTAGTGTAGAAATTGTACTCGATTTTGCATATGGCTAAATGAAAGTATTTGAACAATCTGCTAAGTTTTTTCCCACTTTAGTGACCAAATACGAGCTTTGATAGAACTTTTAGCTAATAAATTGTGAACTTAATGAGCAAATATGCAGTGCAATATCCGAGGGAAGTCCTAATGAATGAAGAATTTGAATGTGCCGAATACCCTCATCCTATCTTAAAAGAGTTAAGTGAATATAATTTCCAAGAAGATAACATTTGGCACTTGAAGATGCATGTCAGAGAATGAAATAAAGTAGATGAGTGGTACTTCTTTAGGTTTTGAGAGGATTTAGTACCTAAAGAGCCTGTTCTCTGACAAATTTATGCAACCTTTATCGCCAAATCTTCTGCGAATTCAAGCAGATAGACTCCTCAGCAACTTCCTGCGCACCACAGGTTTAGGACAACTTAAAAATAAGATTACGAGAAATGAGATATCATATGAGTAAGGAAAAATGTGTATAAGAGCTCAACCTAGTTATGCCTATTTGATCCAAAGTAACTTTCAGTTGATATCCTGCCCTTCTATACATTTGTATGGACTATGTTTCATCAACATAACTCGAAAGCTAACAAAGGGGTGGAAGGAAAAAGAAACGAAAGACTGCTGTTCTTGCAATATCAAGTGCTGTCTTAATGTAAGGATAAAATCTGCGACGTATGATGATATTTATTGATTTTGCCCAGACAAACTAAAATCATGTAAACCACTGAAAACAACCAGTTTTCATGACCAAAGAAGAGATTACACTCTTCGCTAAACTGCATTGTACTCAATGCAGTATTTTACAAGCAAAAGATTCCTTTCGGTTAAACTTTTCTTATGAGCCAAACCGTGTTGCGTACTTCAAATAAACAGCAAATAATGGCATCGATGAACTTGAACCTTTGACATTGCACGTGCACAAGTGATTGAGCTATCCTCTTGTCCTTGTTTCTATAAGAATTGGATCTACGCACAAGGTAAACACAAACTGGCTCCATTAACCTCCATATTGCTCCTAAAAAACTGACTAAACATCCTTGGCAGTAAAAAGTTCTTTTACCAATGATCTCCACAGGAACACTCCCCATCTTTGAAGTGATGAAACCTGTTGGCATCCCTTACAACAATAACTCTGTCCGTAACCTTGGAGACAAACTTGGTGAAATTATGGCAATCCACACAAACCCTTAGGTTTTTGATGATTCTGATTTCAGTTCCAGGTTCAGATGTTAAAAGCCCAAAAGCAATAGCTAACTTTTCACTATGAACTTTGACCATCATCTCCTTCTCTTCTTCTTCAACATCATGCAACGCTGTGCTGGTCTCAGCGTGAAATCCAGCCTCCCTCATCTTTTCCATCAGCTCCTCCAGCTTTGCATAAATAGCCACTGCTTGAGGATGTGACTGGTCGCTGGATGTAAAGACATGCTGGTGTCCATTAACCTCAATTAAAGTGCACCCAGGGGTCTTTGCTAAATTCTTGTTCTTAAGAACTTTCCTAACTGAAGCAGCTTGAAAATAATTACGATCTGCTGAGTAGATGTTTGAAAGTAAAACATAGTATCCAACACTTCCCATGTCCAATGCAAATAACTTATCCGAAGCCAAGCGAGCCAAATCTATATTTTTGTGGACCATGCATGCACCGAGTAATGCACCCCACTCGGCTGCACCTGGCTCAAGAGGCATCCTATAAATAAATTCCAATGCATTTTCTAGTTTTCCAGCTCGGCCCAAAAGGTCCACCATGCAGGCATAATGTTCAGATAAAGGCTCAATGCCATGATCATGAATCATAGAGTGGAATAATTTCTCACCTTCTTCTACTAAGCCGGCATGACTACAAGCATACAAGACACAAAGGAAAGTGACGCCAGTTGGGGAAACTCCAGAATCAAGCATTTCATCAAACAACACCAGTGCTTCTCGACCACGTCCATGGAGACCATAAGCTGAAATCATGGCATTCCAAGTAACCACATTTTTCTCCACGATGCTGTCAAATACTTGCCGCGCCTCCTCAATGTTCCCACACTTTGCATACATGTCAACTAAAGCCGTTAATACATAAATGTTTGACTCAAATTTCTCTTTCTTTATTAAGTCATGGACCCATTTTCCCATACTTAATGTTCCAAGTTGAGCACATGCAGAAAGTATACTCGTGATTGTGACAGGATTTGGATATATGTCCAACTTCTGCATTTCACGAAAGAGCGATATAGCCATTTCTGTCAACCCATTTTGGGCATAACCAGATATCATGGCATTCCATGAAGCTAAGGTTTTTTGTGGGGATTCATCAAAGAGCCTCCGCGCCAATTCCATTTCATTGAGTCGGCTGTAAACTGTAGTCAAAGCAGTAGAAACTGAAGGATTTGATACCATACCAGATTTCACACAAAACCCATGGATAGAACTTGTGAGGTTCAGATGACCAAAAGGACAAGAAACAGGAATCAAACCAACAATGGTACTTGAATTAACTTTCTCCCCCTGAACAAGCAATTCTCTAAATAACCTCACCGAAGATTCATTCTCATTATTAAAGCAGAAACCAGCAATCATCGCATTACACGAGATCAAATCCGGCTCTCTTATCATCCTAAACAACATACTAGCCGCGGAAACATCACCACACTTCGAATACAAAGAAATTAAACCTGTAAGAACATACTCATGACTATAATAACCCATTTTAACAACCAAACAATGTATCGACATTCCATTCCTCAACTCCTGCAACTCAGCAACAGCCGCAAGTACCACAGCCAATGTAGTAGAATCAAACCTCGCCCCCCTTGCTACCATATCACGAAAAACCCGTATACTCTCCTCAAAACAGCAGTTCTTCACCAACCCAGAAACCATTGTATTCCACAAAACACCATCTCGTTCAGTAATTTCATCGAACACCTTATACGCATAACTAATTCTTGAAAAATTCATGTACATATCCACCAATGCCGACCCAACAAACACATCTTTACTAAATCCACTAACTAACAAATGCCCATGAATCAAAACCCCAACTTTTTCATACCCATTTGAAGAAAAAGCCGAAACGATGAAAGCAAAGGTAAAATTATCAGGTTTAAGTGTTGTATTCTTGATAAGTTGTAAATAAAGGGACAAAGATTCAAAAGGCAAATTGTTTTTTGAGTAGCCTCTAATGAGGACATTATAAAGAAAAAGATCAGGTGGGTTAGTTTTATTAAAGGTGGTGAATACATTCTTGGCTTTAGAAATGGCTTTAAAGTCAAAAAGTTTGTGAGTGAGTTTTGTGATTGTAATGAGATCAGTGGTTATGCTATGGCGGATTAAATGGGCGTGAGTTTGATTGAGTTGTGAGAGTGTGGTGGCTTGGTTTATTAGGCTCACGAAGAAGCTTCTGTCTCTTTGAGCTATGGATGCTATGGTTCTGTAAATCATTTGAGAATTTGCTTCAGAGTGGAGTGGTGTGGGCAATATATATAGGTTTGGCGGGAATGTCAATTTTCTGAAGTAAATTGCGAAACCTATTGTATTGTATCCTATTACTTTATGCTACAACTGTAAAAATAAACTGCTATTTTTAAAAATAAACCAAAACCACTACTATTATTTATGTGAATAATTCTAGATAAGGGATCTACATCTACTCCGTAGAAAACTCAGTATTGAAGTTATTTCGTTTTCGCTCAACAAAAGTTTAGGAAATTTTATAAAAGAAGGGACTCTAATTCCTTTTTGTGGTCTGTGCCCTAGAAATTTGCAAGATGACAGACGCTGAGATGAGAGGAGAGAACGAGGAGCAGATGAAAGTGAGCTGCATTCAGATTATGCGAGAGAAGTTGAAGGAATGCTGTCATTTAGCTTATTATTTCCAACCTTTCAACGATCATTGGCATATCCCTTTACTTAGTGAAGAAGCTAAACGCTATAACCATGAGAGTTTTCATCATTTCTGCTCGGATTACTCTAGGTTTTTTTTCTCCTCTCTCTTGCTATATTATTGTCCAGATCTAGTGTTTCTGCCGTTTGAATTCTATTATGCTGGTGATAGTTCCATTCGATTTGAGTTTAAGGAAGGCAATATTGTGCTGTGCTTATGTCATTTTATCTTGTGTTTATAACATTCATTTTCACACCTTTCTCTTGTTTTTATGTCATTTACTACTTAATTTCTCCCTTTCCCAAATGTGATTAATCAGGCTAGAGTAGTTTCTTGTTGAAAGTTTATGGGTTTCGATAGCAACTTTCAGTTAATATATAATAGTAACTATTATTCTTGATAGAAAACAATAATAATTGGATTCACAATTAAATATTTGTAAATATTTTTAAATATTTACTGCATTTCTTAATACATATACAAGGCACGGCTAAAGCTTTTGTATTTGGTCTAAGAGATTGTTAGGCCAAGCTTTGGGGAAGTCAAAAGTACTTTTTTTGGAATTGTGAGATGTTTGGCAAAAAAAAAAAATGCTTTTGAACAACAACAGAAGCAGTTTTTATACTTCAGAAGCTACAAATTCTAGTTTCTATCAAGACGCCGAAGTAGAAAATTAATTTATTCAGGACAAAAATATCATTACAATAAATTTATATTTTCTAAATTATCCCTCATTAATTTAACCTTTTTTCTACCATACGTTCTTATCTTTTTTATTTTCATCATATTTTAATTCTCTTTCTCCTTTTCTTCTTTTAGAATTTCTCTCTACTATAAGTAGTTTCTTCTTTTATATAGTGATTTATAATAGTATATTTAATTTATATTGAATGTTGTATTTTGATATATTTAAATTATCATGTACATAACAAATAATACCAAATACCCCCAATATTATTGATTGGGAATGACTATATTTTATATTGATTAAAAATTTATTTATATTTTTTTTTGTATTTTATATATTATAATTGAATTGAATTTCTTTATGAGTAAAAAAAAAATTGAATTTCTTTATAGTAAATATTTAAATTCTTTTTTTCTTTTAAATAGTACTAATTGCAAAGTGAACTTGAACTGTCCTTTTTCCTAATTTGATACTTAGAAGTACTTTTTAGAAAGATTTCCCAAACACAATTTGCTTGCGAAAAGCACTACGTGAATGAGTTGGACAAACACAAACTGCTACTCCCTCCATTTCAATTTATGTGAACCTATTTCCTTTTTAGTCCATGCCAAAAATAATGACCCCTTTCCATATTTGGACACAATTTACCTTTATGCAATGATTTAATAGCCATACAAAATATATGTGCCTCATTTTACACCACAAGTTCAAGAGTCTTTCTTTTTTCTTAAACTCCGTGCCCAGTCAGACATGTTCACATAAATTGAAATAGAGGGAGTATTTTGTAAAAGTACCACAATAACAACCCAGTAATAATCCCACTAGTGGGGTCTGAGGAGGGTAGAGTGTACGCAGACCTTACCCCTACCCCGGAAGGGTTGAGAGACTGTTTTCGGAAGACCCTCGGCTTAGAGACAAATGGTCCGTAACAACAACAGAAACCAGACAAATAATATCAACACCGTAAGAGACAACAAATAAGTGGAGTATTTTGTAAAAGTACTTTTTGAAAAGCACTTTTAAAAACAAGCATTTATTGGCAACTTGGCCAAACGAGCTCTAAGACGATGGTAATCAGTAGTGTAAGCGGTGCCGAGCACTACAGGAAGGATTTGATCGCATCTTTTTTTATTTTCTTTTTCATTTTGTCATTTTTATTCATAGCGTGATTTTAAAATAAAGTCATTTTAAATTCGGCATATCTATATTTTTTACCAAGGTGACATATTTATTTTCCTTGGCGATGGATGCATTGACGCGACACGTTCAAGGAGATGTGCCATTGTGTATGTTATTTGATGATGACATTGTTCTTATTGACGAGACGCGGGGTGGTATTAACAAGATGCTGGAGGTCTGGAGGCAGACCCTTGAGTCTAAGGGTTTCAAGTTGAGCAGGACCAAGACGGAATACTTGGAATGTAAGTTCAACAACGTTACCCAGGAAGTTGATATGGAGGTGAGGCTTGATACATAAGTCATCCCCAAGAGAGGTAGTTTCAAGTACCTTGGATCTATAATACAAGGTAACAGGGAGATTGATGAGGATGTCACGCACCATATCGAAGCAGGATGGATGAAGTGGAGGCACGCTTCCGGTGTCTTGTGTGATAAGAATGTGCCGTTGAGACTTAAAGGCAAGTTTTACAAGGTGGTAGTTAGACCGACTATGCTGTATGGAGCAGAGTGCTGGTCTATTAAGAATCCTCATGTCTAGAAGATAATAGTAGCTGAGATGAGGATGTTAAGGTGCATGTGTGGGCATACCCGGTTGGATATGATTAAGAATGGAATTATTTGGGATAAGGTGGGAGTAGCCCCTGTGGAGGATAAGATGCGACAAGCAAGGTTGAGATGGTTCGGTCATGTTAAGAGGAGAAGTATAGAAGCCACAATCAGAAGGTGTGAGAGGTCAGTGGGTATTAGGAGGGGTAGAGGTAGGCCTAAAAAGTCTTAGGGAGAAGTTATTAGGCGAGACATGGCGCAGCTGGACCTGACTGAGGACATGGCCCTAGATAGGAGGGTGTGGAGGTGGAAGATTAGGGTAGAAGGTTGGTAGGCAGTCGAGCGTTTCTCTTTTTACTTCGTTGCTATTATTAGTGTTAGTATGATATCCTTCTATTCATTGGCTTTTACTACCTAGAGTTTAACTGCTTTCTTGACTTCAGTCTTTTTATCTTGCTGTTATTCCTACTTATTGTCACCATCTCCAGCCGAGGATCTATTGGAAACAAACTCTCTGCCCTTCCAGAATAGGGGCAAGGGTGCGTACATCTTACCCTCGGAAAATTACTGGGCTTGTTGTTGTTGTTGTCACATATTCTTAAAGAAGAACAAAAAAGCTATTCACTTCTATTTTTCAAACAATTTATCTATTTAATATAAACAAATATTACTTCAGTGAAGTCAAGGTTATGTTTAAATTGAACAAATAAATCAATTTAAAAATTTATCAACTCTAAGAAATTTGACAGAATATAAAATACGTTTGTGTTAAGAAATAACAAGTTACTATTATTTACAAATAGAAGACAATAAGAAAAGAGTTACAAATCACTAAATTAAGACCGATAATTAAAGCAAGGGGCGTATACCCTAAACCAGAAATTTCAATATAAGACAAATAAAAGCTTTCACCGTACTCTAAATAAATATAAATAATTTCATCAAATAAAATTAATTGCATGTTTTAGCTAATTTTATGAAAGAGATAATGAAAATTCACTTTGTAGAAGGGTCTAATTTTGTAGTTAAATCAGTATTGTCAAAGGCGAAAAGCTCTAAAAAGTGCTCTAAGTCTATTGGGTTAAGTGCAACTCGCAGTTAAAGTGTGAGCTTTAGTAAAAGAAAAAAGGGCGCAATATAATACACTTGTTTGTTGTTTATTACAACTCTATTCAAGATAGAAATCATTGACAATGAGTCACACGCCTTAGTGCCTTGCCTACACTGAAGTGCAACATAAACGAGGTGAAGCACCCCTCTTTTGAGCTTTAGGGCTTAAGTGCACTTTAAATGAGTTTTTGACAACACCGAGTAAAATAAACTTTAGTGTAATAAATTTACAAGAAGTTGTGGTTAATTTGACCTACAAGCTTACTAGGCCCACCGTAGCACATCGTGTTTTGAAATACAAAAAGGAAAAACAAACTTAAATATGCATACACAAATGTGAAAGCGGGGTTCGAACCCAAATGGTCGTTTATACAGAGAGCATGCATGCATCAAGTGTGTTCAAATGCTCCCTAATAGTATTTCATTAGAGAGACTTACTAATATACACAGTTTTATTTTTTGATAGTAACACGTGGTTACGCCCCTAGTTACAATCAGGGGTGGATCTACCTTATGAGGTCGGGGTGCCACGCCACCCGCTCGCTTCCCTAAATTTTTTACTATGTATGTAATATATGTGTGGAAAAACGATATATTAAAGCGATGGCAACCTAAAGTAACAAAGTCGATGTGGGTGCTAGTGGTTGAGCGTCCCTTCTGAAGATTGTCATTCTCTTTGAGAATGCGAGCTCGATTCCCTACAGGAGCGTTAGTTTTTGTTCTCTCCTTTTTCCTGGTTTTCCCTTATTTTCAGTTGGGCCCTAGGGCCTCACCTCTTTTTCCTATTTTTCTTCGTTTTCTTCCTTTTATTTGCTAAGTTTCTCTCTTCTTCTTTATTTTTTAAACTTTTGTATACCAATTTTTATTTTGTTTCTACTATGTATTATTATACCTTAATTCATGAACAATTTTTCCAAGATAGTTAGCATATAATGTCTTTTTTATATGACACAATATTAATTTAAATATTGGAGTATAATTGGAACCGTCTTTTCTATTGGCTTTTGAAAAAAATAACTTGATTAATAGTCGTTTTGAGTTGATTATTATGGGTTGAACGTTGAAGGTTTCGCTTTAAGCATATTATCATATAGCTCGACAATTAACATGTAAAAAAGAACCCAAGAATGATAAAGGTAAATTAATCTAGTCAAACAAAGAATATGTAGTATTAAGCTATTCTTTAAGCAAAAAATTTCATTGGGACACTCTTTCATGAATAAAAATGAATCTAAATCGAATTTATTTGCTTTGTGAATGAAAGACCTATTCGAGTTAACCATAAACAAACCGAACCGACCCATCCTTCCAATTCGGTCTTGTAGCTAGTTGTAGGTAATACTTAGAGGCGTACGCATAAATTTTCATAAATGGTGTAACATCTAAAGAAGGGAACAAATGAATAAATAACTATAGTGACAACGTCAACTTTTGTATTTATATCCAATATTTTTATTTTATTTATTATTTATATTTATATATTATATATTTAGTAAAAGTTTTTGGGGAAGCGATGTCCTGTGACACCGCTTGGTGTCATGTATATTCGCCCCTATGATATACTATATGCATAAAGTAGTGGCACCCGCAACCTCGATTTCAGGATCCGCCTCTGGTTACAATGTGGATCCGCCACTAGAGATGTTCCTTTTGCTTTCTAAGAAAGATATTATTGTTAACAAAAGTGATAGTGGTTAGGTATAGAAATATTAGGTAGTTTTTTAGTTTGAGAAAACTTGGAGCTTCTTACTGCATTTATACATCTGGATCAGAACTTAAGATAGTTTTGAAGTTTGAACTTGATATGACTTCTACTGAATCTTTTTTCCATATAATTTTTCTTTCTAATTGTAGTTATTTTCTTGCATCATTATACGTTTGTTTTCATTTTCACTAAATTAAAACCCCAAATACCATGGCACTTTCTTACTTTTTTGACAGCATGCATAATTGATCTCAGACAGAGCTTCTTTTGTTTCCGTTCTTTTTTTAAATGAGTTAGACTTAGATGAAAGAATTGCCTTTGCAAACTTCAAAAGTTCTTCCTTCTCCCTATTCCGCGATACCATTTTTTTGATAAAGTCGAACCCTGTCCTTTATCAAATCTAATGGCTACTTACTCCAGCTTTCTCTTTGACCTGAAGATGTCCCATTTCATTTGACTGCACTTCTCAAGCTACACGTCCACGATGTTAGTGTTTCTTCTCTGACTGTGTTCTCTGGTCGCCAAATGCAGCTTTGAGTTCCCAAGTCTGCCGGTGATAGATGGTGAGGTGAAGCATTGCAGCTACTCCGAGTTAGAAAAGATTACTGACTTCAAGACTGAGAACTTTATTCAGACGACTCATTCAGGCAGATTGTTCCGTGGAACCATTACTAAAGGATCTGAAAAACGACCAGTGATTGTAAAAACATGGGATTTTCTCCTTCTTAGGGACCATCTATGTTCTATTCGTCCATTGAAATTTTGTGTATGTTCAGATACATTTTAATTTGATGTTCTTATCTATTATATTGGGTTGAATGAATGATGCAAGGGGTTCTTTTGTAGGATGAGATTGAGTTATATGAAACAGCAAGTGCACATCCATATTTGATAAAGTTGTCTACGTACTGTTGTGAGAGGAGGCTTGCAGCTGTCTATGATGAAGAATTTATCGCAGATTTGTCTGATGTGCTTCTGGATGGTATTTAAATTACCTCATGTATTACGTTGAATGGCTGTTTAGTGTGAATTTTGTGTGCTTCTTCACATCCGTTATCTTTTCTTTTTCTTGTTCGTCAGATGCATTTGGATGGGATTATCGGATAAGAGTGGCAACTCAACTTGCAGACCTCTTGGCATGGCTGCATGAAAGGAGGATTGCAGTTGGCAGTATTACTGCTTCATGCATTATCATAAATGCGGCTGAGTTTGAGCCCTTGGTCGTCTTCTCGACTTTCTGTTTCTTTAAGATATCTGAAGATTCTTCACGAGTTACTACATTGTTTTGGCTTGCAGGAAATGAATATTAAAGTGTTTGATTTCGGTGCCGTTTACTATCATGTCAACGAGGATTCTGAAATTCCTCTTCTGTATCCTGTTGGTAGGGATGCTCCAGAGGTTTTTGATGGAGGCATGTTTGCTCAGACTTTGTCATCTTTGATGTTTTCATGCTATAGTATAATTGTCTGTGCAACGCATGATACGTAATGCTTCATCTACTGTGTTGTTTGAGTTCCAGATTTCCTTTGTTAAAGCCCCCCACTTTTGCTCAGTATCTCAGTACAAGCAAGTTAGGATTAGTTGTCAAGACATGACAATCTTTACATGGAAGCTATGCCAGAGCATATGGTCAGTTATGTAACTGTGACATAACACCAAAATAACTAAAGCTGAAACCTAAGATAGTTGAAACAAAAGCGAGAACATAAACATGAAACTATATCTGTACCTTGAGTCGTGGAGGAGTACTTGTCATTGAGGTTCACATCATTGAAATCTGCTTTCTTGCATTTATTAGTTCCCAATGCCACAAAATACTTTTTCCTTGTTGGTCAGTTTTGGATGCAAAATGGTGAAATATCTGAAATCAGAAATTCATCTCTAGCATCTCTCTCTCTCCCTCCCTTTCTGTCAATTGATGAAATCTAGTATCTTTTCTCTCTTCTATGTTGATGTTTGTTGAAGTTTGTATATTTGGTCTTCTACTGATGGAGTTGATAGCCAAAAAGGAGTTTGTATTTAGTTATTCTCAATATGAGCCTTATGTTTGGCAGAACTCATTTGTCGTTGATGATCAAACTGCATCAGATATCACAGAGCTGACTTGTCGTTGCCTGGATGTTCATCAGGCCATCGATGAAGAGTGTTTTTGACGCTTTGGGAAAACTGAGCAACGAAAAAGAGGCCAAAACAGAATAAGCTATCCCATTGTTTAGCTACTTTTAACCTTTAGAACAATAATAACATATACCCAGTAATTTAGGAATAGGTCCAGTCAGAATATTGAAGGACAAGTCCAAGATAGCAAGCTGAGGCTGTTGCATAAGCTACTTTTAACCTTTGTATAAGCTAAATTGCTAAGGCTGTTGCAAGGCAGTGATGTTAATTTGTTTTACTGACCTATGAATTGGAGATTTTTTAATTCTTTAAACAAATTTAAATGCCCTTTGTTGTGTGATTGTTATTTGATGCTCCTACTTGCACACATTTGAACAATCTACTTAAATTTTCCCAATTTAATATTTCTATTTGGTAAACACAAACATTTACTCCCTCTGTCTCATATTATCAATCGTGATTACTAAAAATAGTTGTATCAAAAAAAATTTCACTTTACAAGATCAAAACAAAATTGATTAATTTTTTTCCTTTTTTACCCTTAATAATAGTTACTCTTGAAGACTACAAATATCTCAATTATGGATAGTTTTCAAATACCAAGGAAGAAAGATTAAATATTAAGACATGAATAAGGGTAAAGTAGTCAAAATTTTATCTCAATTAATTTTTTTTTAAGGGACGTGTACAACAGAATCATGACAGATAATATGAGACACAGGGAGTAATACCCTGTTGGCAAGCTGCAAAAATCAGCTTATTTTGAGAAGTGCTTTTTTTCTAAAGCGCTTTTCTCAAAAGTACTTTTGGTGAGAAGTAGTTTGTATTTGGCTAATTAGTTTGAAAAACACTTCTGAGCAACAATTAGTGTTTGGCCAAGCTTTAAAAAACTGCTTCTAAATGTATTTTTCTCAAAAGTGCTTCTCAAAAAAGTGCTTTTGGAGAGAAGCTACTTTTTTCTGCTTTTGCTTCTCCTCAAAAGCACTTTTTTTCCTTCCAAAAGCTTGGCCAAATACCTCAATTTTTGGCCAAAAGTGCTTTTGGCCAAAAAAAATACTTTTGGCCAAAAAGAAGCTTGGCCAAACAGGCTATAAAAGTCTCTGAATGGTGTAAATACTAAACAGTTACTAAAAGCAAGGGTATCAATGAACTTAAAGTCCAATAATGGGCAAATTTGAGCAATTTCGAATAATATAAGGACAAATTTGAATGCTTTTCCAAAACTTTTAAAGCAAAATCGGAAATGGACCTAAACTAACCCTATTGTTTGATAAATGATTTACTTATAGCCTCCGTCCATCTATCAGTTCAAAAATACACATTCCTTTTATCTATTAGTCCATCGTACACTACTTTAATTTTATTAATTAAAATACCCCTACTTTTGACGGCAGACCAGCTGGACCTTCAAATTAATGTGTTGGCGTCTTTTTACTAGGCCACGTGACATTCTTGTCCAAAAACAAATCTGAGTAAAACTAAAAAAGCTAGCATCAATTGTCTCCAACATTTTCGTTATCTGATGGGTTCAAATTCGGGTTCAACACCTTGAACACCATTGACGACCACATGAGGAACTGAAGGGGAAGAAAGTGCTCGATCACCTTTTTTTTGAATTGCTTCACGAGAATTAGGTTGACGCCTGACTTCATTATGATCATGAAAAGCTTGAGGGACATCATTATCAACCATTTGAGCTGGGGAATTGGCTTGAGCATTTTGTCGAACACCTGGTAATCCCAAATCTGCAGAATTACCTTTTCGAATTGTTGTGGAGATTGAGCCGATGAAGTTTGGGTTCGATGAGTTGGAAACGATCTCCTGAACAGCAGGAATCGTTTGGCATTGGTCTTGGGCCAATTGGTTCACCGGAACTCCATGCTCAACCATCTGTCAAATTATATCAGACGCGGGTTCTAACACGTGAATGATAAGGGATCTACTACTCCGTAAAAAACTCAGTTATTTCTTTTTCCCTCAACAAAAGTTTAGGAAATTTTAAAGTACTACCACAGGATATACATATAAAAGAAGGGACTCTAATTCCTTTTTGTGGTCTGTGCCCTAGAAATTTGGAAGATGACAGACGCTGAGATGAGAGAGGAGAAGGAGGAGCTGAGCTGCATTCAGATGATGCGAGAGAAGATGAAACAATGTTCTTATAGTCCTTATTTTTACCAACCTTTCAACGAGGATGAGTCTCCAGATTAGGCTAACCCTAATTCTATCCCAGAAGTAAATCGCCTTCGACGACATGTAATGAGTGAAGACGATATTAGAAATGTTAGTTATTGAGTTGTTAATTAGAGATTAGAAGTTTTATACTTTTGTCCAGTTTATGGTTTAAGTGGATATTTATTCTATTTCAATTAGGTCCATCTAAGTTTCTGTATGTTCTCTATAGTCTAGGACACGTGTAGTATTATTTGCATTCGTAGCTGTATTTGTACGAGCTATAACAGAGTGGGGAGATTATGCTAAATGAATATTCCTCTTTTCCTCTTTTCTCTGCTTCTCTCTCTTTCACGCTATTTTTTTCTCTTTCCCTTCCAATACTCTGTTCTTTCCAGAACTTTTCTCCATTGTTGAGCTTAGTGAGCTTAGCATTTGTTACATTGGTATCAGAGCCGGCTGGGCTCCGGAAATCGGGTCACCATGCCTCCAAATCCAGAGATTCTAGGGTTAACAGAGGGTGTCAATAAAATTAAAACTCAGCTCCAATCATTTATGGCTGATACGACGAAACGGTTCGAAGCTCTTGAAACTCAACAAACTCAGTTTTCCTCCCAGCTTCAAGAAACCCAAGAGAGGAATTGACGGTTGGAAATGGACACGAATAAAAAATTGGAACTCATTCTGGCAAGCTTAGACAATAACAGGAGGTCAGATTCAGTTTCCTTTTCACCTCAACCACAGACACTTATGGCTACTCGTGAAATCGACCAAACATCAAGTACCTCTGTTTCTACCTTACCTTTGCTAACCTCAACGACATTACCATTAACTCAGTCACTCTTCTTACCGAGTTCGGCACCCATAGGTCGTGGTTTTACATTTCCACCGGCTCTTCCGTCACATTATACCAAGCCTTACCCTATTCCCAATTTTCCAACATCCGGCTCTTCTTCAAACCCGCCTCTGTTACCCACCCCAACAGCACCACCAATTCAAGGAGTGAACCCAGTAGAACACACGTCAAATGGTAATTTGCTTAAAGCTAAGCTCAATTTTCCAGAATTTGATGGTACAAATCCGAGGGGGGTTAAGAAAATGCGAGAAATTCTTTCGATTTATAACATTCAAGAGTCAGAGAAATTGG